CTTGGCTGGTTTCTTCCTAACACATGGGTCCTAGGATGGTACCATTGTTCACTCTTTGGCTGCATCTCTGGCTCCCAAGGTGCTCCAGGTGACCCTAAGAGCTCTAGGAGAGGGCATGTTTCAGTGGTCTCCGGGGAGGAAAGAAGTCCTAGTCAGAGGGGCCCATGCTTCAAAAGACGGATATGGGAGACAATCCGTGGTTGGGGCTGGGCTGTGGCAGGCAGGGTAGGCTTGATCTCAAGGCTGTACCTGAGGCATTGCATCCAACCTGGCCATCACTGTCTTATCATCTCCTCATTAGCCATGGACTACGGCTCTACTGAATCTCTCTAGTCTAGAAAAACCAAAGATCCAGAACATACCCTGTTTAGGTCTGTAAGTTGCTGCAATTGTGAGGAGCCAGATTACTACATGCAAAATGGAGGAAGCAACACATTCTTCTCTGAAAGGGATGTGTGTGTGTGTGTGTGTGTGTGTGTGTGTGTGTGTGTGTACAACGTAAGGCCTTCCACACACCTGCCTCCTCTGAGGACAGGACCACCCACCTCCACAAGGGCTTCCTGGCCTCCCACCCAGCCGTGGGTGAGTGCCCTTCCTGGGGGAGCAGTGAGAGCAAACATGGCCTCTAGTATTTGCCTAAAGAAGATGGCTTGAGTGACGGCTCAAGTGATGACTTGGACTGGGGACTGAGGGACACCTGGGCTCGACCCCAGCCCTGACCTTGCTGGATGAGCAGCCTCCAGAGGTTGGGGGTAGGATTCAAAAGATCACCTAAGGGCAGGTCCCCCACCCATGCCTGGTGGGGAGGGAGAGGAGGAGAAAGCTTCAGTTCCGCAGGAGAGAGGCTGCTCAGGTAATGTCAGTGAATGGAAAGGTCGAAGAGGGAGAGACATGACTGACTGAAGGCAGCAGCCATAACTCACAAGGAGCCATCCTACACACATGGCAAAAATTAACGTGAAATAGTACAAGGGTTGAGCTGGGCGTGGTGGCACGTGCCTGTAGTCCCAGCTACTCGGGAGGCTGAGGTGGGAGGATCGCTGGAGCCCAGGAGTTCTGGGCTGTAGTGCGCTATGCCGACTGGGTGTCTGCACTAAGTTCGGCATCAATACGGTGACCTCCCGGGAGCGGGGACCACCAGGTTGCCTAAGGAGGGGTGAACCGGCCCAGGTCGGAAACAGAGCAGGTCAAAACTCCCGTGCTGATCAATAGTGGGATCGCGCCTGTGAACAGCCACTGCACTCCAGCCTGAGCAACAGAGCGAAACCCTGTCTCTTTAAAATAAAATTTAAAAAAAAAAAAAAAAAGAGTTGCGTCGGTGCCCTCCCACCCTGACCTCTGAGGGCCAGCCAGGGTTTTGGACGTTTTTCCCCTAAGCTGCGGAGGGCCCGCTGTTCCTGAGTCCGACGGCAGGTGGCGCTGAGCCCGGAGAATTAGAGAAGGGGAACCGTGGGGTTGCCTAACGCGCTTCCAGGAACTCCCTCCTCCCCCGCGGGGCCTTCGCCTCTCGCTCCGTAACCCGGGCAGGTTCTCTCGCAGGTCCCTGCCGTGCAGTGCCGGATGCCTGCACCCAGAGTGCGGGGGGACTGTCGCTGGAGAAGCCCTCACTCCGCAGGCTGTGCAGGCGCAATGTGAGTGTGGCCCCGGCAGAGGAGGACGAGGAGGGGAGGGGAGGGGAGGGAAGGAGGGTGTGTGGGCGCAAGCTCTCCTCCCCCCGCCCTGCCACACATGCACACGTACATACACCAGACATACGCACATCCCACACATACACGCACCACACACACACACATATATACACACACACCACACATACCCCCACACCACAGAAACACATACACATACACACCACACACACTCACACCACACATACACAAACACACATACTCACCACACACACTCCAC